GTTCACTGTCCCTCAGACTATTGGAGGGCTGGACTGCGGGCCCCGGGACGAGTCGGCTGCTAAGCAGGACAGGCAGTGGTGGCAGAAACACCCGGCAGGCCAGATAAATGTCCTAGGCAGGCTGCAGGTGGCCCCTGAGCTGTAGTTTGAGGACGCCTGCTCTGGATGCTGGAAAAGGAGGAAATTGTGCTCGCTGCCTGAAAAAAGCTGTGAGTGAGCAAAACTTGGTTCTGTGTACAGGTTGACTGTGCACCTCAGTCTAGATTGCCCCCAGACCAGAATGCGTATTTGCTTTAGCATTTACTCTGTTTGTGCCAGAAAGAATGAGAAAACCAGGGACTGTGGCTTGCCAGGGTAAGGTGTGGCCACTGGAGAACAGAGCTTCAGACTGGATATGTCAACCAGAGTTCTTGTTCTGTTGACTGTTGTCAAGCATTGTGGCCTTTGCAGAAAAAATCTTTCAACTTTGCTTTGTTCCTGTTCCCTCCATTATAATATGACAGTAATACTTTCTAAACGTGATTTGTTATGAGAGCTAAATAACTGTCAAAGGATTGTGATGTGGATTAAGTACACCCAGTATATGTAAAGTACTAGGCTAGTTTAAAGTACAATCTAGATTTCTTTAACAAAACCACTGGGGGTGTCTTTCTTTCTTAATAACAGGTACTGATCGTCTGAGGTGTCATCACTATGGGAGCATAGCCAGTTGTATTTGCAAGTTAGGAGAAAGGATGAATTAAATTCACATACAATCTCAAGGAAGTAGTATTGTATCTTTCTAATTAAATTTTATTCGTTTAATTTTTTGAGTCTCAACTTTGTCACCCTTGGTAGAGTGTCATGGCGTTGTAGCTTACAGCAGCCTCAAACTCTTGAGCTCAAGCAGTCCTCTTGCCTCGATTTTTAATTTTTAGTGGGGCGGGGTGTCTCTCCTGTTCAGGCTGGTCTCAAACTCATGAGCTTGAATGACCCACCCACCTTGGCCTCCTAGAATGCTAGGATTACAGGCTTGAGCCAGTGTGCCTAAATTTTTATGAATAGGGTCATTAATTTGAGTTTTTCTTTCTTCCTTGTATTTAATAACATTTGAGAAGTGTGAGAAAGCAGAAAGTCATAGATGTGGGAAAAATATAAATTACGTAAAAATTGTCTGAGATTAGACAATAGATTGTACATGAAAGTGAATTAGTGTGAGGTCTCTGTTTTAGAGAAGGGAAAGGGGCAGGCCAGGTGCAGTGTGATGGCGCATGCCTGTAACCCTCTGGGAGGCCAAGGAGGGTGGATTGCTTGAACTCACGAGTTCCAGACCAGCCTAAGCCAAGAGTGTTGTGGAAGGTGCCTGCAGTCTCCAGCTACTTGGGAGGCTGAGGCGAGGAAAGTTTGAGTTGGCTGTGAGCTATGACGGTTTCAGCACTCTACTCAGGGCACAGAGAGGCTCTGTCTCAGAAAACAAGAGAGAGAGAGAGAAGGAAAAAGGGCAAGTCATTATCTCTGATTTTTGTTTTTCACATCTATGAAAGGATGATGCCGTGTGCCATACACTCCGCTGTGTGTTTCGCATGAATTCTTTAATTTGATCACTGACTCGT